TTACTAGTGGGTCATCCTTGCACTATACATTCTGAGCACAAAAGCAGAACATGCTCGCGTTGTAATTTCTATAAATGGATTTACCAGACTCTCAAATAAATGCTCCAGTCAAGCTCAAACCCATAATTATAAGTTTGCACAATGGCTAGGGGAAAATACAGAAATAAAGAGCTAAAGTTAGCTATTGCTTAGTGAGGGATTCAGACTGAGCTGACACAGGGCTGGCATCTTCAGGTTTAACCGTACTTTAGCATTTTAAGGTGAAACCATTAAATATATTTGCATAATGTGATTAAAGGAACAGAGTTCCCTAAAATGCTTATTTACATATAGGCAGAGCAATATATCCAATATTTAAATTCTGGCTAAATTACATTATATATTATTGTGTTTTCTACTTTGTTTGGATAATACTAAAAACAATGATATTTGTTTTGTAAAATAAATGCTGCCCTATGCGACTGTTCATATTAAAGAATTTAAAAACCGAATTGGTCAAGTTAACCATGTAGGTAAGCTATACATTGACTAAAAATGTTTGACTTTCTGACATTACCATGTGGAACTAAATCACCAGACAATTTGATTAACCCATTGCATACTTTACTGAAACTTTTACATCTACATTTACTCTCCAGTAACATATTTTTATGATTTGTGTTAATCTTGTTCACCCCCCAAAAAATACATTTCTGTTCTCCACCTGATAGTTTTTTTATTTAAAAATTATTTAATTTCTTTAAATTATTTATATTCCAACCTCCACTCTTTAATTGCCTTGTGTAACGTGTGTTTGTACACAGCACTAAAACACTTAGTTATGCAGAAATTATTAAAATATAGTTAAAATATCGATACTTTAAAAAAAATATATCGATACTAAATTAAAATCTTGAGTATCGATACTCGAGCATTGATGTGCACATCCCTAGTGTATACTACGAAGTTTTTCGACAAAGCAGGCAAAACAGAAGCTTATGCACGCCTGACAACATGGAAATATTTTTTTTACGGCATTCCAGATGGAGTTTATAACGTCACCTGTGAAATGTAAGTTACTCACCGAATAAAACATACCTAAACACTCTAAATAGGCCACCTAGGCAGCGGTTAGCCTGCTAGAGCGAACACAATGGGGCAAACCTCTTCGTATTATGTGTTAGCTTAGCGATATCGTTATATAAACTTAATGTTTCGTTATTTAAAGCTCAATTACAGCTTGAATATGAAACTTCTCCGCTGCAGCTTTTGTACCGCCAGTCTTCTGACGCGCTTAAAACAACATTCGTTTCTGTTAACATAAAACATAACTGTTTCAAGATATCACTTATGGAAAATATCAACATTTTGAAGAAAGTCACTTGGCTACAGTTCGTGGTTTTCCTCCATGATTTTTGTCACTGCTGTGACCTGCGGCTGCTGTGGGCCTAACGGCTCGTCTGCTTCAGTGTGGTGTGCGATAAAGGACACAAAAGACCCACCATTTTAAACATTTTTATTCCTTACCGTAGCATTAAAGATAAAAACAGTCCATAATTACACAAAGACTGAGGTTGTGAAAGGAAAGAAAGAGCACTGACCAATAGTCACGATATCAACACTAATGAGAAGTTAATGAGAGCAAACACAGTGAGGATATGTACAGTCTGTGCTGAAGAATTCCTTCACATGAAGAACAGGATTCAACATCATTCAAGTTGATAGAGGAGTCTGTTCGGAAAAACTGTAGCCTCATTTTTATACTTCATATCAGGATTTTATGCTGCCGTTTTATTTTAAATGGAAAATAAAGCCTTGAAAAAATGTTAAGAAAACAAAGCGACGCATCAGTCGCTCAGCGTTTCTATCTTGATGATACAATCATGTGCATGATTGTGGAAAAAGCAGCAAAGAAAATGAAAAAGCAGTTAAATTTCACAGGCTCTGTAATCTTCATCTCATTCAATATTTCACAGCCTTCGCATCCTGCAAACAATTCAGCAAAGATGATACGAAGTCCAAGAAAAAGCTCTCTCAATGTGACAATAAGGATGCACAAAGACTGATAATTTAGTGCTAAGCACATTGGCAAGAGCATAAAGAAAATCAAGACTATTTGGAATTGATCTCTTCACGCAATTTGGCCTAAAGAACATTTCAAATAGTGGTGGACAATGTAGTCGTTCATAAATTGCTTTGCAGCAGGCTACAATCCTCCCGTGGCACAAAAACAAGACGAGAAACATTTCTCCTTGCCAACTAATACCATCCAGGATTAATAAATGCTTTAAAGATTAATACGAGAACTTCACGAGCCAACTTATTTTCTTTAATCCAAAGACAAAAGTCGCACAACAGCAGCAACCAAAAAAAACCCCAAAAAAACAGGTTTAGTCATGGGATAAAACTCTTTGGTGATGAGAGGGCAGCCATCCTACATATCCATGATATTAGAATTTCACTGTGAAATGCCCAATAATAATCCCTCAGAATAGGCTTAAATATAATAAAGCCACTGCAGCATTCGGTGTTGAATAGTATTCTGGTATACGTTCGTCCAAAGACAATTACGCTTTACTGACAATGTATAAAAGCACTTAGTGTGCCACAGGTCTGGATTTTCAAAGGGTTCAAGAGACTTTTTTCCATTGAATACAACTAGGTAGCTCTTAAAAATCAAGATCGGAGAAGGTTTTCAGGTGAGAGAGCTTTTCCCACCCTGATCCCGAAGGCACGGTGCTTCAGCTTAGCTTAAAGTAGAACAAACACGAGGATGGTGGCGCACAGGAGAAGCCGTGAATCATGTGTGGGTGGAGGACAGCTGGTGGGTAGACGATCCGTGCCCTATTTTAGAGCCCAGATTTGTGCGCGTGAATGTGTGTCAATAAATGCTCTGTAAGAAGACTAAAGGAACAATAGCATGTGTTTATGCGTCTTATAATGAGGTTAGCTGTGCTCTGGAGAAAGGATGTGTCCAGAAGCGAGGACAAGGCACGCAAGCATGTAACATGTGTGCGCATTTACACACTGAAGTAGCTGATATGTTTACATTTTGAAAAAAAAACAACAACTACTGCACCTGAATACTCGGACTAGGCCAAAGCAGAAAGCTAGAGAACAAGGGACATGATGGGAAGAAAACAGAAACAGTTTCTTGGGGAACGAATCAGGGGAAAGTTTCTCTAGGGAAACACAAAATCATCAAAATGCATTTTACCCCTTAAAACTTTCTAGTTGTATGCAAAACTTTGAGAAATCCTCTTAAGAAACAGTATTTGCTCACAAAGTGGTGATTGCAAATAAGTAGACTACCGCAGAAGTTCTTTGCTTTATTATTGAATGTTTATAAACAAAACCTCACAAAGAACTTACATTTTTTAGCGAGTGAACGCAAACTTTCACTCAATATATAGATATTTTGCAAGGCATTGAATTACAATTAGCAATAGCTCACAAAATGTTTCCTTTTATCACAATAACTGCATCACTTCTCAAAATTTGTGTTCACTCTCAAAGCACAGTTTCTCAGGGGAACGCTAACCTTTTGCAAGCCACTTCCAAATTTCTCAACACAACAAAATATTTAGAAGAGACAGCATTTCCTGCTCACCTCATATTTTTCCCTAGCATGTCCCATTTAGGGGCTCCGCAGAAAGCGCTAGGCATTCTTGCAGACGTTCTTAATCTTTCTGCTTTCCTTTTAAACAAAAGAATGTAATAAATTATAATATAAACTTGATGTAAACCGACTGAACAGCAGCAAAGTAGTGTCTACATGCTTTCAAAAAAACTCAATCGATGATGTCCACCAATCTGTCAGCTAGTCTGTATCGCAAAATGACATCAGCCTTTACAATGGAATGCCTTTCGCCCTTTTTTCATCACCTAACACTATTAGATAAAGAGAGTAGTGTGCTGTAGTGTAGACCAGGAATCAAGCTCTACCACTGTTCACAGTGCATCTCTAAAACAATCACCACAGTTTTATTAGCGTCACTTTCTAAAAGTACTCCAAGTATACTGAATATATTGCTCGAGTGTGTTCACATTGGACTGTGTGTCAGTGGTTTTCAGTTTCTGGTATTGAGTATCAATCTATCCCTCCTCCTCAGAGCAGAGGAATGATCAATGCCCAAATGTGATTAGCAAAAACCAAGTGGAAAGACAAAGCTGTTGCTGTGGCACACACTAAGTCAAACTGTTAGCATGATCATCTGGACACAAACAACCAAAACTGTCCTTTAGGACAAAATAAAGCTCCATTTAACAGCAGGACTGCAACATCCCCTCAGCCATATACGTCCAGTCTAATTTCAACACTATATTGGTAGTGAAAAGACCCACCACTATGATCAAGCTTTTAGTTAAAGGGACAGTTCATCCCAAAACTTTAATTATGTCATTTGTTCATCTTTATGATACTTCAAACCATTGAGTTTTACAGACAAAAACTGCTTTAATCTGCAAAACAGCAAGGTATTTTGAAGATAAAAGTCAATCTTACAGGTTTGTGAAGACATAATGGTGAGTAAATTATGTTTTCATTTTTTGGGTGAACTCTCGCTTTAATGAATCACAGAGAACTACTATGGTGCACTATGGTGACCGTTGGTCTCACTCATCTAGCTGGCTATTAGACCGATGGGAAAGAGCTCCTGCATCATTACTAGTCAGCAAATGTCATAAATATGAGTTAATTCCATTCCCAGCACATAAACCTAACATGCTGTTTAGTGGTGAAACATTAGCGTTCCTTGCCAAGTCAAGTTCCTTGTCCTAGTTGAGGTACGCCTGCAAGGAAAAGCACAATTACTGGCATCTCGTCTCAAAACCACCACATCATGGAAAGATGATGCCCAGGATCCCGTCCGCTCGGGACAGCGTCGAATGGTTATAAGATCATGAAACATTACTTCTTGATCATGTTTAACAGGCACACTAAGTGTGTCAAGTGGATAATGGGTGGTTTTGTTAATGGTAGTCCATCAGTTGGTCAGTTTCTATGCACCTGGTGCCCAGATTCACTTTCCAGGAAAGACTGAGATCTTGCCAGCCTTGGCCAGCTTGTCAATGATCTGGGCCTCGTAATCGGCATCATGGACGCCTGTTTTGCGAAACTCTCCAGAATAGCGGTTCTGCTCCCAGTAGTGGTGCCAGTTTCCCCGACTGTCCGCCCCAAAACCGAATACATTCACCTGTGGAGGTAAATCAACAAACACATTCACCTTACTGATAGAACTTAAGATAACCCTAGGCATAATAAGAATAAATTGCCACACCATGAGCCTAAAACTCTATTGTTTGCTTGTTCTCATGTTAATCCCGTGAGTGTAACATCCTAGTGGGACAACGGGCCAATCAAACAAAAAGACTTGATTGACTGCTGACTATTGATTGGCCACTCATCAGTGTTGGGGATAACGCATTATAAGTAATGCCAGTTACATAATAAGATTACTCTTCTAAGTAACGAGTAAAGTAACACATTACTTTTAAAAAGTAATAATAATTGAGTTACTTTTTAAGAAATGTAACTCGAGTTACTTTTTAGATGAATTAATTAGCTTTAAAAAAATTTGCTGAATTGAACTTAGTGTAACCACATTAAATTACTCTATGAGAGAATGAGCTCCCTGTGGGAACAGACAAAAATCGAGATGGCAGAGCATTACATTTTTGTGATGGAAGTGTTCGTTATTTTGAACACATGGAAGAAAATGGGATATTCTCAAAGATAGGTGATTTTACTGAACTAATAAGACAAAAATACAAAAGTAGCAAACACATTGCTTTCAACTTTCATTAATTTTTATATACAGCATGCACAGGGTCAGGAAGTTCTCAGAAGGTAACATTATTTTAATTTTTTTATTGGTAAATGAAGGTGTAGGTTATACAGCATGTCGTTAATTGCAGAGCTCCTTTATTAAAAAAAGAAAAATAGCTTTACAGAATTGCAAGTGTGCAAGTTCTGAAAGAGATCAAGCCTCAGGCAGGTATGAAAAAGTAACTCAAAAGTAACATAACACATTACATTCTAGAAAATTAAGTAATGCAACTTGTTACTTTTCTAGCAGTAACTCAATATTGTAATGCATTACTTTCGAAAGTAACTTACCCCCACACTGCCACTTATCATAGAATGATTACAACAATGATTATTGTTTTCCCTTTTTTCTCGTTTTTCTAAGACTATATAAATTTACTATGTTTGTGCGACTCATATTGAAAATAGGAGAGTCAGGGAGATTAAAGGGCACCATGTATTTACATTGTTTTATTCACTGTATATTGCTAAGTGATGTGGACAGAAGTCGAATGGCAGCATCTGTGTGCGTACACTAATACAATGCTTCAAATTTTAAAAGACTTTTTAAAGACTTTTTTTTTAATCAGTTAATGCTTTTAGTCTTTTAAATGAAATTCATGATTAAAAATATATATATATTTCATTAAAATTTTTAATTAATGCAAGAAGCTTTGAATTTTCCAGAGGCAAAAGTAAACATTTTTATATTGTTATGAAATAACTTGCTTAGAGGTAAATGTACACATATTTAATATAATAATAAAAGTAATTCATGCCAGATTTATGGCTAATTTATGACTGACTGAACATTTTTTATAGAAAAATCTTTTTAAAATAATCTTATTTTACTAATTTTAAGCTTAATTAATATTGCTGGAAGGCCATCTGCTGCGTAAAACATATGCTGGATAAGTTAGTGGTTCATTCCACTGTGGCAACCACTGATGGCTTTAATAAGGGAACTAAGCCGAAAAGAAAATGACTGAATAAATGATTATCACATCTGTTTAAAGTAATCCAGAGTAAAAAAAAAAAAATAGAACCATTTCCCAAAATACAATGTAAAATATTATATTTAAATGTAATTTTGATGTGAACTAATAATAGAGTTCATGTTTAGATGCTAAAGTCTCACCTCATCACATACGTGTAGAGCGAAGAACAGCACGAGCATGCCGGTAGATGGGTAACGTCCATGATGACGTGTCCAGCGGTCGTGAATATATTTGAAGAAAGCCGGGTTGAAGATCTGAACCTACAAGACATTATTTGACACGTATGCGAATTTACAGCAGCACTGAGAAAACCGATAAAGACGAACGTGAGATTGATAGTGTTTTATTGTCTGCACTCTGAGAATATAAATCTGTGAGAGACAGAAAGGAATATATTACCTTGTCTTTATCCACACGCAGAAACTGCTTCACTGGAGCATAAGTACTGAGAGATGGAACGAGAGAGAGAGAGAGAGAGAGATAAAGAATGAATTGGAGAGATCAAGTTAGATAAAGTCTTCAACTTCTGACATTTTTTCATCTTTTCAGAAGAACTTGCTAGATGAACTGCTGCTAACTTTTGAGTGTTCTTCAGTGAAGTGCAGACTGTTGATAAAGTGCTGTGATGTGTGGCAGTGTTTGTGCTTTGAATGATGCATAGTGGGTACGCAACACTGCAGCATGTTCATGGAAAAAATTTAAAGGTCTCACTGCAGTTTCTATGACAGTCGACTAAATTTACTTGAAACGCAGTGACTGACAATCAGATTATCATTAAATCCACAGTGTCTCTCTAATCATGTCAACTTTGAACTAATCAACTTTTTAAAATATGTTAAGAGTGCCATAGTATAGCTTAGAAATAAATGAATGCTAAATAAATAAAGTAAAATATTTATATAAAAAGAATATCTTCAAAAAAAAACAATTCTTTAAAAAAAAAAAAAAAAACAAAGCAAAAATTTAGATTTGGGTTCTGACAGCCATTTTTTTAATGAAATCTCCATAGTGTCTGAAAACTGAACAGAATACAAATTTTAATATGGAATGTAACATTAAGGTTTTTTTACGCATGTATGTTTAAATATAAATATAAAAAATAAATAAAAGTCTTGAAATGAATACGACTTAAGGGTGCAGTTAGTGTTGTCAAAATGCTAACCGTTAGCATAATAGCTTTGAAAAAACTGTCTGTCCCCTGCCATCCAAAGCCACGCCTCCTCAAATTACAAACACGCACCGTAAAGAAGACAGTAGACAACCCAATAGATCATGTCATTCGCCAGTTAGAAGACTTTATAATACTACAATTCTGAAAAAAAAACTGTAGGCAAAACTTGTCATAACACACGCTATCCTAAAGCGACTATGCTTAGTGGTTGGCCGGTGGCGTGCAGGAATTACACATTACTAAGCCATACTCAAATGCTATTTCA